TGTGTGGGGATTTCTAAAAGAAAAAGTGTACCAGACTCCCGTAACCACAAGAGATATGCTAAAAGACAGAATCAGGAATGCATGTGATGAAATAAGGCCTTATTTGAATAATGCTATACCACGTTCGATCATTCGTAGATGTGAATTGTGTATTGAACAATTGGGTTTACAGTTCGAGCAACTACTTTAGATTTTGTGTGTTTGTCCTAACTATCCAATAGCATTTTAGTTGTAAATAATTAATTTAATTTGTTAAAAATTATATTGGAAAATTAAACAAATTAAATTTCTGTTTTTTTGTGATTATTTGGGAGTTAGGAATTATTGCTGTGTTTGAAAACACAATCTAAACGATCATCTTAATTACTTGTAATGCCCAAATCGAAAATTTAAAAAAAAAATATTATTTTCCCATAAGTAATTAAAAATGCATCGAACCTTAAAAATAGAAATATCTCAGAAACGGCTAGCTATAACGAAAACTCAAAAGAGAGCTTTTTTATGCAGAAAAGTGCGAAGAATCAGTTTTTTTATTCAAAAAGCAAAAAATTGCACTAAGAAAAAATTTTCGGTCATTTTAATACACTACAGGTACAGTAGAGAGCGCCCTCTAGCGGCTACAGTAAAACTATGTCCATGGTTCGTTTTTTCGTACCAAAAATCCCTTGTATACCAATGTTCACTGTTATACATCAAATATTGTTCGAAATATTTAAAAAAAAACTATTTTAAAAAGTAAATTTAAACACCCTGTATTTCGGAAGCCACGAATTTTTCGACCCATGTTTATATAGACTTTATGCGTTAATTTTCAAAAGATCTATCGAATTTTAAAGTTATGCAACAATAAATTGAAACACCCTGTATAGTGACCGGGGTGACATTTTTTCCGTAATAACCCTGCGCGATCAAAAAGCTGATGCCACCACCTGTCAAACGTTTCAAAGTTCACGGTGGCTCTCATCCAACTACAAAACGATTCTTACTTGTCCCTCGTATCGTCCAGGCATCCAGTCCGGCAACAATCGGTGGAGACTTTGTTGACTTAACCCCCATCGAGTACTTACATACACAACAAACTCTGCGTACGTAAGTTGGAAAGTTTCCCTCGGCCTGTACATACAGCCGTCGGCACCGGAACGAACTTAACTTGTATGCGAAACTGCGGGAATAAAAGTAAAGAAAAGCAAAAACAACATTTTTCACAATGCGGGTGGGTTTTCCAGAATAGGTGAGCAAGAAAGCTGCTACTAGAAGTTTTCCCTCCCGTTGTTTCTGATTCGCCTTTCACGCAAACGACACGGCGGTCATATTGTGTGAGTTTCCCCTTCGTGATGCAGCGTTGATCTGAATCGAGTCGGGTACACAGAATGGGCCAATTAGGTCTAGGTTTCTTTGGGCTGGAAATGAATACTTGTACTTCAAGTTGTGGATATTTTGGTCGTTATAACTTCGGAAATCATGTAATTACACAATAGTTTATAGTAGTCAGGATTGGAGATGAAGTATCAGGGAACTTGTGATGTCAGGTATCAACAGATCTGTCTGCCGCTGAAGGTATTTAGTTCTCAGCTTTGGTGTTGTTTTCCCATTTTCGTCTGTCAACGCTTTTACATCACTCATGCGCAGGTGTTCGTTTGAGCATCACTTGGTTAGTTATGGTAGTCATTATTGAAATGGGTAATAGGGGGGTCAAAACAAGTCAAAAAGTTAATATGAGTAATGGTCCAAATGTCAATAGATTTTTGTCTAAATGGCTTTATACTTTACAACTTTAAGTGCTTTATATCGACCACAATCTTAATAATTTTTATAATCTAATATAAAACGTTTTTAAATCGGGTAATTCACAAATAAATGACATAAGTGTTTCTAAGTTAAGCCAAAATTTGTAGACAGTAAGTAAGTGAGTTTCGTTAAATTAAATATTTAAAGACACATGACAAGAGCGCGTCGATCTTTCATCACTCTTTTCGAAGCGGCAATAGATCGCAAACGGTAACAGTGGTTAGTTATTATTCGCGTACGTCGTCGTGTTTATTTCCAGTGTTCTCGAATCAAGAGTTCGCCGACATGTTAGTTTACGGTGAAGCTCGTCAGAATTCAAATCTTGCAGCTCAAATTTATCGCGACAGATTTCGCCAACGGGTACACCCAGACAGAAGGACATTTGTGCAAGTGTACCAAAGACTTGGAGATGCAGGAAGTGTTCAGCCCACTAATATTCGCACTCGTGAAAGACAGGTTACTGTACATCAGGAGGAACAAATTTTAAATATCGTGGAAATCAATGCAGATATCAGCACTCGGGAATTAAGCCGCCGCGTAGGACTATCGCATACCATAGTCCATAGAATCCTACGGGAAAATTTGCTCTATCCCTACCATGTACAACGAGTGCAGGCCTTGTTACCAGAAGACTATGCTCGCTTACTAACATTCTGTCAGTGGTTTTTGCATAAAAACATTGAAAATCCGGATTTTTTAAAAACATTCTAGCGACTAACGAATGTACTTTTACACGACACGGGATATTAAGTTTCCATAATAGTTACACGTGGGCCCAAGAAAATTCTCATACCATTCGTGAAGGTCATTTCCAACAACGTTTTATAATAAATATTTGGGCGGGTATTCTTGACGATCAGGTAATTGGCCCTTTCGAGTTACCCCCAAGGTTGTCAGAAGAAGGATACCATAGCTTTCTAGCCAATAACCTACCAGAGCTTCTGGAACAGACGTTAGACAACATGCGATTACAACGGAGACAGAATTTGTGGTTTCTTCATGACGGGGCACCACCACACATTTTTAGAGGCGTCATTCAGTATTTGAATGAACATTATCCAAATCGCTGGATCGGTTGAAATGCTCCTGATCCTCGAAAATGGCCAGCAAGATCTCCTGACCTTAATCCAATGGATTTCTGGCCTTGGGGAGAACTTGAAAGGGATGGTTTATGGGGCTGGTCCAATAACAACTGAAGCACAACTTCGCGAAAAAAAATTTAATGTGGCTGAAATAAATGGACAACTTCGAGCACCTAGAGTAAGAGGAAACTGGGTTCGTCGTAATGAAGCGTGTGTGGAAAGTAGAGGACGACATTTTGAACACCTACATCTATACAAAAAAAGTGCAGTATGGGTTTTAAAAAGAAAACAATGTATGTATCAAAATTGTGTGTATAAGTGGATTTTTTTAATACGTTCAATAAGCTTGCACACACCAGGTGAAGCACTGAGACAGTTAGTGGTAAGTTCGTTTTTTTTAATTGTTTGCATTTTACGAGTACATTATCAAATAATGAACTAATACCTAAGAGCCAAAAATAACAAACTCCATCTTTATTTACACTGCGTTCCGTCATCATTTGCGTCTGGCATTGCGGTATTGTCAGATTTTATTTCACTTTGAAGTCGCTGTTCTCTAAAAAAATGCCGTTTTGACCCCCATGTTATATGAAATTTTCTGCTTGTTTTGCGTAGGTTTTTGGTAAAAGATGGTTATTCAGCACAAGCTGTTGTATGTCTTGTTAAGAACTAGCTTTGAAGCTATCGGTGTTGCTTAAACGTCAGCGAACATCGACCATAGCGAGCGAACGTGGAATGAATTATTTGCACCCCAAAGACTACCTAGTCTGCAAGATCACATTTCGTCCGTTTTTATATTTTCTACATACTACCCGTGCCGCCAACAGTAATGAAATGTAGATTGGCAGATAAAATTGTATTCTGTAATACTATGATATAATTTCTAACCACGTTTTCTGCGACTTATGTATTTAATATAAGAAACGCTATAGATACGAAGTATACCATTTACCGTGAAAAATATCGTATATGTATATATAAATTTATAACAAACTGAAATAAATAAGCAATGCACTATGAGAATGATAAGTGACAGAACTATCATTCTCAAGGCTTTGAGCACAGGAATAAAAGCGCATTATTGACGTTCCAGAAGGATTACTTTATTACTGAGCTATTTTCAAACGCACGTAACAAGTACGTCAAGCATGGCGAACGCTAAAATTGTTAGAGAGTACTACAAAGTACACTCTGTAACAATTTACAAACGCAGCCCTGATGCGGCTCATTCCTCTTTAATATTCAATATTGCATTTGAGCAAGCTGATTAACTAGCTTTGCAACCGCCATTTTGAGCATTACATTTTCGCGTTTGAAATATCCATCGGTGTAACGTAGTTTTGAAGTAGGGTACTATAAATGCTTTGCAATACAGCTTCATTTATTGACTTCATTCAATACACGTCTTCGTCCGCCAAAATCAGTCCTTAAACCAGCTCTGCCAAGTTCCAGTCGGGAGTGCGACAAACTCGTTATCCCAAGCCCTTCATCGCGAGAAAACCGTTTTCCTTGTAGTTTCGTTTTCACTCGGAAACATTGCAAATTCGCAGGGAGCAAGATCTGGACTGTAATGAGGGTGCTCAATAAGTTTCCGTCCAGTAGTGGTCAAATATTCGGTGCAGACTTTGGCGTGGTGAGCTGGACCGTTGTCATGTTGGAGGTACCACATCTCGATTATTGACTTTGGCCGCAAGTATTTCATAGACTCTATGACTTTAGGCTTAGGACTTTACGTACTGTTCCATGTACTATACCACTTAGCTGTGACTGTCTTCTGTGTGTCCAAAGCGACACGCTCCACAATCCCGCTCGATTTGAAAAATACAGCTATCATTTTTTTCTTAACAGATCCAGATTTACCGACAGCTATGGGTGTGTCCTCGTCATCAAACCGAGATTGCCCCTTATCAAACATTTTTAGCATATTTCGGCACCATGTCGTACAACGAGTCTTCTGCTCTCCCGTCAGACTATGCGATACCCAGAGAGAACAAAGTTTCCTTACGTGCGAATGGTCATGCAGAATTGAATGAACTGCTGGTGCATGCAGGTGTAAGGACTATTCTATCTGTTGGTATGTCACTCTCCGGTCTTCGTCACGAATTTTCCTGATAGCGGTAATGTTTCCTCTGTTACTGACGTTCGCGGCCTTCCTTCCCTCTCAGCGCCCTCCAGATTGGAATTACCCCTTTAGAATTCTCTGTACCACCTGAATATAGTCTTATAATGAGGACAATCATTCTTTCATGCAAGCGTCATTTCTTCTAAGCATTGATCTATGCTTAAACCACGCGTAAAGTTATACCGTAACTACGTGACCACGATATCATAGTCCGCATTGTCGAATGAACAACTAAATCAACAGACGTGCTGCTGGCGGCTACTATGCACTCATGGACATTTCTTAACCTGCAGTAACATGCAGCCTCCTGCGTCCGTTTGTTAAGTCGTCTTGCAAAGCTTTCATAGTCACCTGTATTTCCTTCAATGAAGTGTTCCTAAGAACCATAATTTTAAATTGTGAGCTGTGCTTCAGAAGTTTACTAATAACTATTGTTTTAACCGGTTTATTATTGTTCATCTCGAAAGTAAACTCAAACGTTCCGAGTTGATTTTAGTGATATTGTAGTTGATGAAAGTTGTCATACAATTATCTTTGTATTGCATCCTGAAAAAGAGAATAAACATTTTCGATAGCTCGATGTGAACAAAGGGCTAACTTTACTGTACTTGTAAAATTGGCACATATGGTTAATGGAGTGGCCAATCACTTATGCTTACGTGTCAACCGCCGTCTTTATGTCAGCGTTGCCACCTCTCGGGTTGTTGTCGCAGATTATTTGATTTCCTTTCCCGTCATTGACGAATTCTGGCAGTACCAGATATTATTAATGCATACATAAGAGGTTAGTGGGTGACCCTTCCCTAGACTGTTATTTTCAAGAATATATAATCGTATTAAATTGAATAATGGAGTCTGCTTTCACTACTTCGAACGGAATTACTACTAACACACTTGTAGCATTACGATGAATGTTATATGTGAATGTCCGAATACACTATAGCATTCGACATCTTGAAGAATACTTTGGAGATGATCTAAAGAAAGTGCCCTAACTGTAATGCAGATCCATGATGCGATTTAAAGGCACCTAAATGTATCGATGACAATTTCTCAATAACTGTCTATAAGCTTCTTTCACACCGACAAGGTTTCCTCTGGACTCTACAAATGAACATTCTTCTGAATGACACCATGATCTGATCACCAACAGCGTCCCAGTGTATCTGGTACCTAATCTCTTTCTCTTTAATACGCGATTTTAAATACAGTTGACCAAGTCGCTCCAGTGGTCTTTATTCTCAGCACATCCTAGGACTCCTTGGAGAATTATCTGCTTTGCCTGCTAAATTTTCCCGACCATCTCACTGACGATATCCTTCGGCTTCTTATTTCCTGGATATCTCCATATATGGTCAACCTCATGTCCGAAGAGTCATGGTAGATATTCTTGATTGATGATACATTCGCTCTGCGCGCTGCCCATACAATTCCAAGCATCCGCCTCCAACACTGTATTTCGTGCCTCATTAAACTTGTAGCCATATTTGTATTCTCTGCTCAATGCTCGGTTTGCAGCTAGCATCATTACTGACATAGATCCCAGGTGACTTTATTTACAACCTCCTATTTGTTCAATACGCTAGTCCAATGAAGCACATCAAATGTATTGACCACCATGATTCTTAGTTTTGACACCATTTATTTCCATGCCCCTTCTACCTCTTTGTTCTACCCTTATCCGGTTCTATCATTTCTATTTCATTGGCGTCAATTATTATGGTATCAAGTGTGGTGAAATTTTATGTCCTTCCATATACGTTAAATAGGTTCGTTGCCCAAATCTGTCTGGCCAAGCGGATATGGTTTGTTCGTACAAAAGTTGGGGTATGTTCATTTGCTGTAAACAAAAATGATGTAGAATTTTTCGTCCAACTGCCCGAATGTGCCCGAATTTTCCTAAGGAGACGAAAACATGGACACTTTATAGAAAAAATAACAGCACCCAAAAGTGTCAAGTACATTTACTCAGTAATTCCCATTCAGTCCTGATATAAAAAGTATAAGCATAAATTCGAAAAAATATGATTCCACACATCGAATGACAAGTTGAAGAAGTAAATACATAGTAAGAATTCTGAGTAAACGTCTGCAGTGATTATGCATTAGAAATGTACAAAGTATTGTGCACTTTTAATAAAACTCAGATAGTAGGGTTTTTGTTCCCTTGTCGCCCAGCCTCGAAGTGTATGTACAAACAATATTTATATTTTCTAGCTATGTAAGTAAAACCCAAAGCTGATGAGAAAAAAACGAAAAAACGAATTCTGGAGATTTTGTGATACAGCTACTGTTTCTGCTGAGGTGGAAATAATATTTTCCTTATACAGGCTATTTTAATATGGGCAAAGTTGTGTAGTGAGGTAGTCAGCAGAATGTCGCTTAGAAAGCTTTTAAATTAAAAGTACTTCCGGAAAGAAAAGTAAAAAACGAAATTTCCCAAAATGGTTTTAATTTTATTTATGGTGGGATTTCAAAATAAATTGCGCATCAAGTCTGCCACTTTTCTCCTCTAAAAGACGGCACAATTAGAATTTCAGTATTTCAGTATGACGTTTCGTCTCTTGTCCTCCAGCATCCACTTAATTTTTTCTTATAGACGCCATATTGGATTCTTACACACATGAATAGAATTTTTATTCTGATTTCAAAAATGTGTAAGTCATAAATTGACACTTCAAAACCTTAGTTATTCTAGAAGTTCCTAGGTAGGCCTTGAAATAATCAGATTTCATTTGTTTGCGCAACAAGAGTTTGTAAGACTGTGAAGACCTCTGCTTATTTATGGTTATTATTGTTATTACCATCAATAAAATTTTCATTTCGTATTCAGATTTTTTATTTCTTTATAATTTTCATCCGTAAACAAACATCTGATAATTTCAAGGCCTACATAGGAATTTTTTTCAAGTAACTACGGTTTAGCAACGTCAATGTATCATGTATTATGCATTTTTTGATTCAAAATTAAAAACTCTATTCATCTGTACAAAAATGGAATATAGCGTCCTTGAGAAATACAGCAATTCTGATTATGCCTTGTTGTAGACGAGAAAACGTGGCACCGTTAATGTGCGCTTTATTTTAAAATCCCACCATAAATAAATTCAGGAAAAAATTAAAACGATTTTGGGAAAATTCAGACTTTCCGTCACTTTCCGGAAGTATGTACTTTGGTTTCGAAGCTTAAGTGTCATTTTGTTAAGCGGCTTCGTATCCGTTACAGTTTCCAAGATCCCAATGGTGAGTGCCAAATTAGAAACGCCCTGTATATGCAGACACTCATTAGAAGAAAGAAGTGAAAATACTACAAGGATTTAATAACGTCTTTGAATAATAAAGGGAGTTCCCGACATGGACAGAAAGAACTGAGACTACGAAAATACATAGAAGTAAGACTTAAGTCGCGTAATTTCGCATTTTGCAACTGTAACAAAAATTTTCAAAAGATTAGTGAGCACAAAAATCGTATTAATTATGGTTCTTGAAAGTTATGTCCTCTATTATTCGGATTTTTCATACTGTATTCATAATCTTCAGTTTGCCATTACCGGGTCAATAAACAAAATATTGAGTACGAAGCACTTTGGCTGATATTTAAATTGGAATTTCATTAAAATTTGTTCTGCCACTTGCTCACCCGAAAATGTTACAAAAACTTGTTTCTGTTGGATTGTGGCACTGTTGTCTCTACAAAATTCAGGTTTTTGGGTTTCATTTTCTCTTCAGTAGATCTTCAAAGTCTTGGTATATCGTTCAGTTTTTTTATACCGAAGCAGCCGCGCAGGTGAACGCTACATGCCAGGGTACCGCGGCTGCTTTGAGGAGATTAATGAAACTTTGTTATTCCAATTTTTGAACTGCCTGAAGTTATTAGAACTGGGAAAAGCTCCTCATGAACATTTTTACACGATCTCGACACCATCGGGACAAAGGAGCGGTCTTATCGGCCAGTTCTAGATGTACGAAGTTCGACATGGTTCCGATTGGAGGCCAAGCTCAGGCAGGCACATTGCGTGGCGACATCATGGACGAGAGCTCTGAGGAGCAAAGCCCGTTGGCGTAGCCAGATCGCCAGCGGCCCGTCGGTGCGAAGGTGTCTCCAGACCGTCCATTAAAGAAGAGTAATCGATCATTAAATGCCTCTCGCAAAGCAATTTTAGTCTTAAAGTTAGTTTCGACACACTGTGATATCTGTCACTGTCACTGGTTGACTGGTGCCCTCTGATCTGTCAGAAGGTTCTGTACGAACAGCGGATTAGCTGTCGACAAACCGTCAGAAACTGTACGAACAGGTAACATCTCCCTAATTCTGAATTTGACAGTCACCGACAAGTTACCGACTACTGTACGAACAAACCAACCATGTATAATGATATACTATAACTCGTGATATTTGTATCAGAAAGGTTCTCCTGCTCCATTCCTGTATGTTCCATCTCACCTCAGAACAGCAGTGCTGATGTGCCAAATGATGACGGACTATTCAAAGACGAGCAATCCTTTTAGAACTTCAGCCGTACATGTCGACATCATCATCTTGTAACTTTCCACGACGTAACCTCGGGCCGTCTTAGCGAACTGTCTCGTTTCCGTTCTCTGGGAGCGGATGCATCCCGACTTTAGCTTCCGGCCATTTTGGCCTTTCATGAAGGTCGCCATGAGTAAAACGCAGACCTCCGTGAACAGAAAAATGAGGTGCTTTTTCGCGTCCAGCCGACATGTGGAACGTCTGCTATTAGAAGGCCACGGGAAGTGAACAATCATCATGTCACACTGCCAAGATATGAAAAGATGAAGATTAGATTTGAAAATTGATGTCAAATAGATAGAATCTCGAACTGTCATTGATTTTTTGTGTTGTAAGTGCTACATTTCTCAAGTCACATTCTACGTAATTGCATTGTATATCCAATCCAGCTTAACCCTCTATGACTTTGATCATTTTTTTGAGGCTTTAGAAGAATGGGACTTGTTACATGGCGAAATAGTAATTGTGCTTGGTGACTTTAACGTACCTAAATTTATCCTAAATGATGGTGATAGTAAAACCAGAATAATAAATAATTGTATGTCTCTCCTAGATCTGAAACAATACGAGTATAATAATGTAATGAACATATCCAACAGGCTCTTAGATTCAGTACTGAGTAATGTTGGCACTACTGAGTTTGACCATATTCCTCTAGTGCAACCTGATGACCATCATCCTGCTCTTATCATTAAGCTTCCTCATATTAATCATCAGGAACCATTGCTTGGCACCAATAAGCACTCTAAAAGGGCCAATTTCACCAACAACAGTCCGTTATTCTCCACCTATAGGGTAACAGCCCGTTAAATGCAGCGAATGAGCTTCAAGTTCCAATCAACAAATTTTAGCAACCAATAGCTATGAAATGTTGAAAACAAAATAGTGTCAAAGTATGAGATGACATCTTGTCATTGAAACATGATCAGCTTATTGAATATTAAGAAATTACATATAATTCAGTCAAAATTTAAACATGTTTGATTTTTGAATAAAATTCATGATTTAATTACTATTGTCGATTTTTTATTCATGTCTATATTATTTTCTTCAATTGATATGCGATTTTACTGATTCAAGATCATCTACTGGGTGTTTTTTCCTATAAACCTCTTGAAGATAGCCATTAAGCACCTACTTGATGGCTGGCTCTACCAAAAAGTTCATAGATATTGCTCGTTTCCAAACATTCATCCATTTACTTGCCGTTCATCAGAACCATTATGGCACCTTAGATTGATATTCTCACAAAACCATTCTGGTTTTTTAATACCCATGCCTCCATAAAGTTGAATATTTTTCGTTGTTCAGTAACTTAACAAACATCCACACTATATTCACAGCGATTACAAAAAAAAAAATACACAAATAT